CAATCTACCTATTCTATCTACATATCTATCCATCTACCTATCTATCCATCTATCTATCTGTCTACCTATCCATCTATCTACCTACCAATCTACCTACCTACCTATCTACCTACCTACATATCTATCCATCTACCTATCTATCCATCTATCTATCTACCTATCTATCTACCTACCTACCTACCTACATATCTACCTACCATCATTACAAAACACTCGCTGCTATACAACATGTGCAATATCATTATTATTAATAATGTTCTATAATAATATGCAATTATGTATCTGCCACTACGTTTTTTTGTGACTGTTAATATTTACACTAAGTATATGTTTCCTGTAGATATTGAATTGCTCTTGTTACCGTACAGTTTTATTATTATGCTGCTGTGTTTATTGTATTTTTGTAAGTCTGGCACAACAATTTGCTTCAGGATAAATAAAGTCTTATCTTAAGATCATAGGAGGAATGAGCAGCAGAATCATTTCTTCCTCATCCTCACAGTTTTCTCTTGTGTGTCTTTTGTTAGCGGACGGCTGGCCGATGGTGTTAGAGGACATCGCAGCGAGGCGGGACTGGGGCTGGAAGCACGAGTTCGACCTATCAGAGCTGGTGCAGACCATGCTGACTCACATCACTACCTCCAACCAGCGTGCACAAGCAAACTGAGCCCTTTTCATTCCATGGAAAGCTTTATTTAAAAGTATTAAACACTGAAGATTAAGAGAATGTTTAAACAGCTCAAAACATAAGCTCCAACAATTATCCTCGTCTTCATCAAAACTAATGTTCATAATCTGATGCAAGACACTGCATACTATCTCGCTATGTTACTGAACTTTAAAGAGTTCTCTCTCTGAATGTACTGTATGTATGTATCTGTAAGTACACAGATGTGTAGCAGCTAAATGACATTTGGGGGGCGATTCAGCCGTCCTGAAAACCAGTGGGCTTTGAGTAAGAGACACTCAAAGGCTTTACCTCGATACGTAAGAGATTCAAACCCTAGTGTTACTGTAGGGTTAGTCACAGGGGCTTTAACCATAGTTGCCTAGCATTATAAAACATGTGTGGGTTAAAGACGAACAGCTACTTCACCCGTACACTAGCTGCTTTAAATATTATTTGAATTATTTGTATTGTTGGTCTCAGTTTAGAAGCTGCAGTCTCGGAGCTGAATATTTATGAATGTTGATTTAATGAATGCATTAGCAGTCATTTTCATTTTAAGGGAAGTAGGGCTCTTCAGTTTTGCAGCTGGACTCTTAAGGATCTGTGAAAAACACGTGTAGCATGAAGGGAGCGGGCTATAGAGCTCCAATTAGTTTGTTTTTTGATATTGATGTTATTTATAATTATATTCTTTGCAGCTTTTTCTGTCAAACCAAATGGGACGACCTTTTTCTTTTTTAAATAAACACTTAAATTAACAACGTAGTCTATCGTCATGATATTTGATAATGAACCTGTGAATGCTTTAAAATGTCCACTAAAATAGCCCACAATGATAATTACATGTTCTCCTATACAGTCAAATTAGAAAGGACAAACAAAGCGTGGGAAATCCTAGAAATTAAACAATTTGCAGTGTTTTCTTTCTTCCAACGATCTTTACTCACTGAGGTCCAGTCCTCACAGTGCATTCCCAGAATCCTTCAGTCCTGCGTTTGCCTTTGCAGCTGAGTGTGGATGTAGTCTTTGTTTGTCTGCTGCCGCCTGCTGCAGTTTGAACTTCAGGATATCAACGAGCAGAGAAGCCTCTCGGTTCAGACTCTCCAGCATCTGGCCCTCTGTGGCCTTCACTGCTGCACGAACCAACGCCTGAACGCCCTGCGGAAAACAGAGGAGAAAAGGGCATGAAATATATTCACAAAAATGCTTTCCTTTATTTTAAATCCCTCTGTGAGATCACCTCATTGTCCAGTTGCACATCCTGAGGAATATCCACCTCCCCCAGAGTGACCCTTGACCCCTTTCGGAGACTCCTCAGCTTCTCCTCCTTCTGACGTAACATTGAAGTCAGCGCCTCTCGATGCCGCTGATGCTCCCAAACATGAAGATCTGTACCCTGCAGCACACATAAGGTTAGAGAGGGAATACAGTAACCATTTTTGTTGTATCCTGATAATGTAATCCTGTTACATGAGATTCAAGGTTCAAGGCTTTTATTGTCATTAGTACATAGTTACAGTGTAGATATATCAATGCACATCTTAGGTCACAGGCTCCTCCAACAGTGCAACACAATAAAACAGATAATAGTGCAAGTAAATACAAATGAAATAGTAATTGGGATATGATATATTAGATAAATAATTTGTAAGTTGCAACAGATGGATGTTCTTTTCAAAAGTTGAAAGTCTTACGGCCTGTGGGATGAAACTGTCCCTGAGTCTAGTGGTTTTACCCTGATATGCAATCCATTTCCCCCACATGTGTACAGCGCTCAGTTCAGATGTGTGGTGATTATATCTGTGAGTCACTGATTGGAAAGGCTTCCTCACCTGAGCCAGAGGACAGGGTGTGGGCGGCACCTGCACCTCCAGGTGTAGCTGAGCGATGGACATGTTGGAGGCTCCACTCATAGCCGCCTGGAAGAGCCTCCGCCGGGCGGTGAGGGTGTGTGTGAGGAACTGGGTGAAGTCGAGTTGGTGGAGAGGGGTGAGGTTCGGCAAATACTCGGACAACTCATCTCTCAGCAGGGATAAGAGGTTGGGAACGTCGAGACCTGATGGATAGAAGACAGAAAAGTACAGAAGCCTGGAAATAATGATTCAGTTTTGCTAAATAATTACCTAGTATCTCAAATGAATGGAAAACAAATGTATTTGGAAAAACTAATTATTTGAATAACATTTTTCATTATGACTTCTTTTGGGCTTGCATATTTATTTATATTATTTATATTTATACTCAATTTAATATTGAATAATCAATTTCTTGCACAATAATATCTTGCATTATATTTGTTTGGTATTTCCACATGTATATATTTTTCTATTTTATTTCTATTTCAGAAATATTTTGGACTGTTGATTTCTAGTGTCTTAATTTCTCTTATGTACATTGCCGTTTGTTATCCTGCCAAATGGGATCAATAAAGTACCTATCTATGTATCTGTCTATCTATCTATCCATCTATGTATCTATCTATCTGTCTATCTATCTATCTATCCATCTATCCATCTATGTATCTATCTATCTGTCTATCTATCTATCTATGTATCTGTCTATCTATCTATCCATCTATGTATCTATCTATCTGTCTATCTGTCTATCTATCCATCTATCCATCTATGTATCTATCTATCTATCTATCTATCTATCTATCTATGTATCTATCTATCTATCTATCTATCCATCTATCCATCTATGTATCTATCTATCTATCTATCTATCTATCTATCTATCTATGTATCTGTCTATCTATCTATCCATCTATCTATCCATCTATGTATCTATCTATCTGTCTATCTATCTATCTATCCATCTATCCATCTATGTATCTATCTATCTGTCTATCTATCTATCTATGTATCTATGTATCTATGTATCTATCTATCTGTCTATCTATCTATCCATCTATCCATCCATGTATCTATCTATGTATCTATCTATCTGTCTATCTATATAACTATCTATGTATGTATCTATCTAACTATCCATCTATCTATCTGTCTATCCGTCCGTCTATCCATCTGTCTATCTATGTATGTATCTATCCATCTGTCTATCAATCAATCTATCTATCTATCTACCTATCTATCTATTTAATCAAACAAAGATACAATTCCCTGTGGCTTTAATACCGTTTTAATAAAAGGCACATAGGGAATGAATCACTAGAAATGACTCACTCATACTCAAAGTACTCTGCAATTCAAGCTGTTCAGATCTCAAACAGGTAAACATGTGTTTCCGTGCACTTTAAAAGCTCTCAGGAAACAAACGGCTCTCTCTGACGTCCCCCCTTTGACCCTGACCTCGAGGTGAAGCTCTGTGTTTGCTCTTACCCTCCAGTCGAGGAAAGATGCCTTTTGCGATCACAGCTGCCCGGATCACGTCAGTCCAGGAGAAACCACAGCTCGCAGCAAACATGGCGACGTCAAACACAAACTCCTGATGGAAGAGGCGCCGCTCATCAGAGAGCTCGAGCCATGAGAAGTGACGACTCAGCCTCTGCACACCAGCATCTCTCTGCACACACATTGATGCACACAACCATCATTGATGCACTCATGCATAAGCATTGATTTCATGCCGTGGCAGCTCATGATGGAGTTGAACTTTCATCAACATGGTCTCTTTGGGGTATGATTTATTCACTACAGCAACTTGTTGTAGCTTTTTAAAGTTATTTATAGACATTTAAATCGTCCTACCTTATACAGTAATGCAGTTTATACAATGCATCAGACATTAGGTCATCATTTAGTGTACATTGATTTGGAATTAACTGTACAGTGTCAGATAAATATAGTGAGGAGAAGTTTAAAGTAGCATAACATGTAAATACTAAAGCATAGCTACAGTATAAAAACACCAAACATACAGTAGTAAATGAATTGCTAGTAAATGGCATTTTTAAAGGCACCAGAATTACACATCTATCCGTTTAATTAATACAAAAAAATACAGATTTCTTCTACCTGGTGTCTCGCTATCTGCGATATTTCACTCTCTGTGAGAGACTCCATCATTGATAAGTGACACAGGTCAGGTGCATTTGGTTGCCATGGGAGAAGGACGCGTGGTTCGGGCGTGCGTAACTGTTTACGCGATTGCGTCACAATCACGTACGACGCATGGGAGCTGGTGGAATGGAATGTTTGGACAAGACGCTTATTAATTTATTTTATCATATTACAAAAATGGGAAAAATAAAAGTATGTTGAACTGATGAGCTACAATAAATAGTCAGTTATGATCGTAATTAGTTCAGCAGATTCGGTTAATTCCGATGTTTAAAGTTTGTGCCGGGGTTTGATAGGGAACACTCGGGTCTGTCATGTAACTCGGCTTATTAACCCGAGCTACAGATGGCTCAGGTTAATCCTCTTTAGCATGAATCCCACTCCTCCTCCTCCTCCTGCTTCGTTTCTCCTCCCATGGCTGTAAAGGAAATAGTATGATAGTGTTTTTTATAATGTAAAGATAACAGATTGAGATTTGTAAAGCTATACGCCATTTCCGCTTATAACAATAACATGACATTTACTATATTGATCCCGATTTAGGACATGTCTTCGTCACAGCAACATGTTAAAACAAGGCATTGCACACATCATTTCATCAATATCTCAGTATTAAGTCTTTTATTTTGAGTAGGAGATTCCATAAATTGTTTTGGTATGTAAATCTTATGCCATTATTTTGAAACTCTAAATGAGTGTATTTCCGGTCCCTAAGCTGCTGACTTCACGCTGAACATGCGTCTCTTTCCAAGATCTGCTACAGTATGTGTGTGACGGAGCGATCACTGCTGCTTTAATATCTTATCTAAATGGGTTGTTTCTGCATCTACAGGTATGAATCCATAAAGGTAAGATTGGTCTGATTTATTTCCCCTAAACTCCTGTTGCTTAACTAATAAAATGTGCATTAAACTCCAAATATGGTGCGTGTTCTAGTGCAATTGTGCATGTTGTTGGATGTGTTTTCACTTCTGCAGGGACGTGCACTGACATTTCATTAAAGGGGTCTGTTGGCTAAACTCCCCCTAGCACCGTATCATGTACCTGAATTGTGTAACATGTGGTAATTAAACTACCACACATCCATTTTAAATTTAAATATGAATCAAATAAAATACTGCACACTTATTGTGTAAGTAAATTAAGGTCCAAAGTAAGCTATGGTTATTTTGAAAATGCACATTTTACTGCATTTAATGTCATTTTTTGTATTTTTACAATAGTCTGTCACACATCTGCTTTACACATGTGGAGATTTGTATAGATCAACACATTCTTTATACCATGCATTATTAAGCATTGCCAATCATATTTATGTACCTAAAACATCAAAAATAAACAATCCTTTCGTCTTGAAAGGCCAGCAAAAGTGGGAACATCTGGTGCTCAGACGTCTTTATCATATCTGTAACCCTTCTTGGTGTGTTTTGGACTTCATGTGATGCAGTTGTTGGGCAGTGGTGTGTTTATTGGATGAGTGACAGAGAGGAGGAGGGGTTCATTAGGTTACAGAGGAGTGAGCAGATCTCCTAAAGTAGTCCACACATCATATAACCTCTGCTTTGCAAACTGAACCAACTCACACTTTTGCAGCAGTGATGATTTCCCTTGATTTATCCACAAAGAATACTCATTAGTATTCCCTCGCTGCCGTCAGCACAGGAACTACTCATCCCTGACTCCCTGTCTAACCAGAGGTCTCCAAAGGGTCCACCTACTCTTTTCCTGTCGCTCATCAAAGCTGTGAAATGCAGGGTTGTATACATGTGAATTGTGCAAGGATGTGTTCGGAAAAATAGACGGCGTGAACTGCCCTTGCGCTTAAAAGCACAATGCAGTGTCCCGGAACACCTGCAGGAGAGATGTGAACGCTGGAGGGACGAACAGAGACAAATCCTGTAAAATCATTTTTTGATTTGTTGCTTTTAAAAAGGTTTTGTACAACCTGAGTCTTATCTTGTAGAAACAAAACCTTGAGCAACACAAGATTTCAGTTCATCTTAAGGACACATTGTTCTTGCTTTCAGGCATATGAACTATGTCCTTCTTTTTAAATATATGACTTCTGGCATTATCAATATGTTCAAATTCAACATGGATCAAACAACAAGTTGAAAGAGGCCCCTTTTTGCATTTCCTACTTATTGTTTTGGTTTTACAGCCTATAACTTTACTGTTGTGGCTCGCTCTCATCTGCATCATTCACAGGTCCACATGTTACAACATCTACATACAGCCAGAATTCCAACTGAACAACCAAATATAGCCTTACATATTGTACTGCATGTTCAAGTGTTAACAAAGGTGTAAAGTAGATGGCGTCAAGACAAAAACAAAGTGAAACGTTAACGTGCTTTTAGCTCGTGATAATGTGGTTCCGATCATTGATTTTCCACCACCGCTGCAACAACGTTAATAATAGTTTGCCCCGACACGGTTCAATAGGAGCAGTTGGTGTTTTCAGTGATTCCCAAACAGGAGAGCCCCTGCTGTCAGACAGATTGTCTGTACTTACAATCCTCTCCAAACACAGCAGTATATCTCTGTGTGTGTGTGTGTGTGTGTGTGTGTGTGTGTGTGTGTGTGTGTGTGTGTGTGTGTGTGTGTGTGTGTGTGTGTGTCAATTAGGGCTGCTCAATTAATCGTATTTTAATCGCAATTACGATTATGGCTTGCAACGATTACGAAAACAACGTAATCGAAATAAAACGATTATTATTTATTTATTATTATTATTACTTTTTTTTTTTTTTTCAATTTTTTTTTTTTAATTGGTTTTTCAGTTGAGTTATACTTAAAGGTAATCAACTGTTAAAAACATACTGTTCAAATATTTTTTCTCCAATAAATTGATGTTTTCAAAGTAAATGGATAATCGTTTTTAATAATCGTGATATCAATTATTGACCCAAATAATCGAGATTATGATTTTTGCCATAATCGAGCAGCCCTAGTGTCAATGGTTTTATAGGTTTTGAGTTCAGTCCCTCTTGCCTTCTATTGTTCTCTGTCTCTTATTTGGTCTTCTTCAAATACTAGATGCAATCTTTCCCAAGCACGTGTGTGTGTGTGTGTGTGTGTGTGTGTGTGTGTGTGTGTGTGTGTGTGTGTGTGTGTGTGTGTGTGTGTGAGAGAGTGTTTGAAGAAGACAAAACAAGAGACAGAGAACAATAGAAGGCAAGAGGGACTGAACTCAAAGAACTCAAAGGGAGTAATATTTACTGAAAACTGAAAACCTATAACATCGTTGACACACACATACTGTATACACACACACACACACACATACACACATGCACACAAATATAATTTAAACTGTAGTAGTAAGTCCATCCATCCATCTTCTCCCGCTTATCCGTGATCGGGTCGCGGGGGTAGCAGTTCCAGCAGTAGTAAGTCATTATGACAAATTATGCTCTCCTAACCACTTGACTGAAAGATCAAAGTTGCAAATTGCCTCATCAGGTCAGCTACATAAGATTGGCTTGGCTTCACCATAGCCTCTCATAGCCTGTCTCTCTCTCTCCATCTCTCTCTCTCTCTCTGTCTCTCTCTCTCTCTCTCCTCTCTCTCTCTCTCTCTCTCTCTCTCTCTCTCTCTCTCTCTCTCTCTCTCTCTCTCTCTCTCTCTCTCTCACACAGGTCCTTAAGCAGGCTTTTCGTCCTATCCTTAGCCTCCCTCCCTTCTCCTCCGCCCGCCATCCTTCCCTCCCCCCCTCTGTGCACCTGATTACCGCCTGCCATTTTACCGGGGGCTCTGCTATCTTAGTGTGTGACTCAACCTGCAAAGGTAGCCGTCACACACACACACACACACACACACACACACACACACACACAAAGCCACATAGTGCCGACTCCCGGTGTGTCCCGGCAGGGAAATATTCTCCAGCTTTTTCTCGTCTCTTTGGACAATGCTTCCCGAAAATGTGAGTAGTGTTTGGAGAGATGGATAGATGTGGAAGAACAGGTGTGGTGTAAGGATTAAAACAATTGGTAAAAAGTGGTTAAATGGTTATATGTGGTTATATGGTCATGTGTGATTGTTTTTGTATTATTTGACTAACAAATGAAATCTATTATTATTATTTAGGTACAAAAACAGAAGTACAATTCAATGGTAAAATCATGTTTGGTGTTTTACTTGACCATCTCAAAACATGTCCTAACTTGTTGCTATTTTGCTCATGTTATAATGTCTTGATAAGATATCTAATGTTGTTATAGACTAATTGAATTTGTTGTTCCTTCATTCAAATGTAAACTGGGCTAATACAACTGTAATGTAATACCCTTGAAATGAATGTGTGTTTTCAGGCAGGGAAAAGACTTGAAAACAGTGTTCATAATTTGGTCAGGCGTATTTTTGTCTAATTACATTCTCTCTCATGACTGTTTCCGTGGTTTGTCGTTATAATTTGATTAGTTTCACCTTGGAAACCTTTTATTTGCAGTCATTGAGGAATCATGGTTGATGGTTGAGGATATTTTAGGAATAAAGACACGGAGCTAAAGAGGGATTATGTCGCACCGCGTCACGTTGAGCGTCTGAAGATAAGAGCAGTCTAGCCTCATGGGACTTTAAAAGCCTGCTAAGCCTCCTCAAAATATTCAACTTTTTAAAAATGTGTTATTGAAGGTCATCACTGTCATGATCAACATTATCAGTTTAGTTTAAAATGCCAGGTGTCACACTGACGGATTTATCTTGTACTTGTTGCTTCTTATAGAAAATAGAAAAGGATAAGAAATGTTATCACTCTGTAAATCAGGAGATGATCAATCTAAAAGTGATGATTCTGGTTTCGTACATTATGCAAGCTGAGGTTCATGTCCTCATGTCGACTGTTTAAGAGCGGGACAAGGCGTTGTTACATCCGTTTTAAATAGGATTTCTAAAGGTGTGCTAGGCCGCTCCACTATATATAGCAGGCTGTGGGAAGCTCTCTAATTAACACTTCAATAGACGTGCATGTAGCTACATCTCATGTTATATTATGTGACTCTTTTCTGTGGAAAATTGATGCCACTTCATATGTTTTTTTGCCCAGAATAATAAGATAATTAGAAGGGAATTTTCAGGCATGATTAAACAATCAAGATTTGTCTGGGAACAAAAAACGTACCACTGGTTTGATTTGGATGACTTTTCTGTACGAGATTCTTCACATGCAAATTACGTAAACTGCAGGTAACCCCAGGTAGTTCTGTTAGTGGATGTCTTGAATCCTTCGCAAAACTTCCAGATTATCTTGAAAAAAATTATAGAAAAAGCAGAAAACCAAAAGGCAGTGAGCAGGGGCGGTTCTAGGGGGGGGGGGGGGGGCAGTGCCCCCCTAACACTGACCTCTGACCCCCCTAACAATGAAAACAATTTTTATTTATTTTTTAAATGTATATTCTCTGGTACTCGTTTTGCCAAAAACCGCAGGGTTTTGTTGATGTAATGTGAGATTGTGCAGACACCCTTATGTAAAGTAGAGATGTAACTGTTCATTGCCTTTATTTTTATATAAATATGGTGTTAGTGCAAACATTGCACTATAACTTAAGCTGAAGCTAACAGTAATAACTATAAGATATATCTGAAATAAATAAGTGTACTGAAACAAATACCAATAACTGTATTGCATTGTTTTCTTATGCGCAATTACTTCATACTGTCTAGTTCTCTTTTTCGTCCTGCATTTATTGTGCCCCCCTCAGAAAATAACTGGCCCCCCCAGTCAAATTGGTCTAGAACCGCCACTGGCAGTGAGACACATTAATATAACAAATCTGAATATTTTGAGGACATTTGCATTTGAAGGTCTTAATAAGTTAACCAGTAACACCACAAAAGTACAATTGTTGAGGCTTTCAAAATCAAAAATGATAACCATTTTGTCTTTAAGGCTTTTTTTGATACCTTGAATGCCTAGATCAGGGGTGTCCAAACTACGGCCCAGGGGCCAAATGCGGCCCACGGACCATTTTGAATCGGCAAATAAAAAAAGTGTAATGACTTAAGTATAATAAACTTCTGCTTGTCTTATATTGTACTCCTTAAATATATATGTTCAAATATATATCACAGTATTCATGTGTTAATAAGCCACATTTTCAAATAAATTCAGTCAATTAAAGTTGAAAACCTGTTAATAAGTTAATAAGAAAAAAGCCCAACCACTTATTTACATAACAACCTTGAAATACACCCTTCATAATTCCTCTTATTATCATCAATCAGAAGCTTCTGTTTTAAGAATGAGCTGCCAACAAAATGAAGTAAACCCTCTGGAGAGCTGTGGGCAGTTTTTTTATTAAAGCATTTTCAAGTATCAAGAATAATTTACCTACATTGGATTGACTTTTCCAATTCATAACAGAACTTATGAGGCAAAATACCTCCAGCGAGTGTCCCAGCCCTTCGTATATTTTTCTGTATGTGGCCCTCGGTGAAAACAGTTTGGACGCCCCTGTCCTAGATTATAGCTACAGTTTTACAATTCACTTAAATCAACATTTTCTTTGTTTGTGTGTCCCTCAGGTGTGTGTGAGATCGCAGCATGCATTCTGTCCATACAGAGATGTGGGACCCCCAGCCCCAATCTAAAAATGCCTCGCCCTTCTCCCCGCGGCCACCCTCCAACGCTCGCCTCGCACATGTGACCACCCCGGCCAAGAGGATCACCTTCTACAAAAGCGGCGACAACCAGTTCGGGGGCGTCAAGATGGCGATCCACAAGCGCAGCTTCAAATGCTTCGACGCCCTGCTGGACGACCTTTCCCAAAAGGTTAGTGGGACGGGATCAGAGACGGGATGTGAAGATTTATTTTGAAGCTCGCTGTGGAGATGTACTTTTCAAGACGAATAGATAGAGATCCTAAAATAAATAAAAGAGGTTAATATCACATCAAATGTACCTTAGAGGGTCTTGCCAGTTGTTCTCTAGAGTGATTGTGTTGTTATGTTAGATGTTTGTTTTCCTTGTACCATGTCTTAATATGTGTCCTTGTTTGGTGTTGTAAATTGAGTATTACCATGTGACATCGTAAAGACATCAGCCTCTAGTCTCATTGCTCCAAGAACTCCTTCACAATATGTCCCATGTATTTCCGTGTCCCCATACAGGTGCCGCTGCCATTTGGGGTGCGTACTGTGACGACTCCCCGCGGCACACACTCCATCAAACACCTGGAGCAGCTGCAGGACGGCGGATGCTATCTTTGCTCCGACCGACGCCTCGCTAAGCCGGTCAACATGGAGCTGGCCAGCAAACGCCCGGGCATCTGGTACCATCACAGCAGGAAGCCCCAGAGACCCGAGTCCTCGTCCGCAACACCCCCAGGACATTTATCTTACAGGCAGCGGAGGATCCTGCTGGTGAAGAACAGCGATCCGGGGGTAAGGAGGAGCGTGGTTCTGAGCAGGAGGTCCACCAGGAGCCTGGGGGCTTTCCTGGATGCCGTGTCCGAGGTGATGCAGTTTCACGTCCGCAAGCTTTACACTGCAGAGGGACGAAGGGTAAGAAGTGGCTCGTTTTACTTACTTATGGTGGTGGAAAGTAATTAAGTACATTCACTGAAGTATTGAGCATTTATTGTATTTTATTTTATTGTTTTATTGTATTTTTTATTGTCTTTTCATTATTTTCCTGTAGTTGTATTATCCACTTCCACTCATGGTCATGACTTCATGTGCTTTCATATTGCTGATGACCCTGAATTTGTCTCCAGATCGACAGCGTGCAAAGCCTCATGACGTGTCCCGGTGTTTTGGTGTGTGTCGGTCGGGAAGCCCTCAGCCCAATGTTGGTAAACTTCATGAGGAAGAGCTCAGAGGAAAAACTTCCCGGTGTGGGCAACAGGTCCCCAGTTCTCGGACCGAGGACTCCTGGAAACGGGGCCCGATCTCCTGCTACTCAAGGAGTGAGATCCCCACCTCATGGAGCTCATTCAAGAGCCAGCGAGTGCAGTGAAGTGCATGAAAGCAAGAAAAATGGTAATTTGTTTGCGTCTCAATTAGCTTAAAGAGTGAAATTGTGAAAAAGAAATACTGGGTTGTAATTACATTCGTTTTTCTCTCTCTCTTTCTCTATCCTTTCAGTTAACTTCGGTCTGGAAACCAAAAAAAGCATCATCCACCCTCGCTCAGATTCCTCAAGCCGCTCCGCCCGTTTCTCCTTGTCTTCGGAGAAGTCGTACAGCAACGGCGTCAGACCGTCCATCATGAACGACGACATTGAAAAGCGTGTGGTGGTCAACAAAGATGGCAGCCTCTCTGTGGAGATGAGGGTGCGTTTCCGCCTGCACAATGACGAGACCCTTCAGTGGTCCACTCAAGTTAAAAAATCTCCAACTCTGACCAATGAATGCCAGGCCCCGCCCCACTATCTGCAGCAGGGCCAATCGGAGAGCTGCTCTGACCCCGATTCCTTCTCCTTTGACCCTGAAGGTGTGGATTATTCCAACCAAAATGGTGTTATGGAGGGAAACGGATGCCCCTGCTGCTACCAAAGACAGGAGCAGCAGTACGACTTGTGGGAAAACCCGGCACATTGCCACAAACACCACCCTGTCCCTCCTCCACCTGCATCCAGACACACCATCACAAGGCATACACGCTCTTCTTCTTCCTCCTCGTCCTGTAACTCCAGGAGGGTGGTGCGCTGTCGAGCGAGAGGGTCAGAGCCGAGCAAAATAGTCCAGGAGGAGATGTTTGTGACGGAGCAGGTGGAGGTGGAGCAGGACGGAGATACATGTGTCGAAGTGTGCACGGTGAGCCGAGGATGCAGCCGAAGTGAAGTCGTCGCCATTGACAGGAAGTCAGTAGCGGAGGATGACGAGCGTCCGCTGTCTGTGATCAGCAGCTCCTCACATGTCCTCCAATCCTTGAAAGAGGACCAGGATGACGAGCTGCCACCCAGCGCCTCACAATGCTGCCGCAGCATCGAACCATCTCCAACGCACAAGGAGGATGAGGAAGAGGGGAAGAGCAGAGTAGCATCCTCGTCTCACTGTGGAGCAGACACCCCCCATCCAACAGCTGACGATCGAGCCCCAAGCTCCAAGTCCCAAAGGAGTCGAGCATCTGACAGGTCTGGCGACAACAAGATCCCAAACACAGAGGAAGAGGAGGACGCAGAAATAAAGAGGGTTGTTAGCAGCTTGTCTCAGAAGTCATCCAGCGTGTGCTCTAACTGTGGCGGCTGCAAACGCGAGGCTAACTCTGAGTCTAACAGTCGAGCGTCACAAAGGTCCGATCGCTCACACAAAGCTCCTTCCAAGCCTCCCACACCTCTCGTAAATAACGGTAGTGACGACGAAGGCTCAGAGTGTTCGGTTGGGTCGACGCAATCCAACAGGAGCAACATCACCGGCCGCTGCTCGGCGGTGTCACACATGCTGGAGGAAAGAGCCTCCAGTCACATGTCCAGTCCTGAGGAAGGAGGGGTCGAGGAGGAAGGAGCCAGTGACGGTGATGTAGGAGAGGAAGCAGAGGAAGAAAGGGCAGGTAGCTCCTTGTCAGACAAATCTGGGGCTTCTGTAAAGACAATAACTAAAGCTGCTTCCCCGACTGGAAGTGCATTCGTGGAGGAAGAGGATACAAACAAAAGAAGTCCCAGTGCCCTCTCTGATAAGCCAGACAGACCTGAGAGTGTCCTTTCTGCTAAATCGAGTAAATCAAATGTGTCTGCAAAGTCCGGAAAATCTCACAAGTCCACTTGCAGTCACTGTGCGAGACCAGTATCTGCAGCAGCTCAGGAAACTATTGAACCAGAAGAAAATGGACAAGAAGAAGGAGTTGAGGTCGAGGAGAGAGCAGCGAGTGCCGCTTCAGCAAAATCCAATCTCTCAGCGAAGTCTAATAAGTCCTCCAAAGCTCTTGAAAGGTCAGAAAGTGGAGAGGGCGAAGAAGAAAGGCCTGCGAGCAGACGGTCTGGTAGATCCAATGTGTCTGTTAAGTCTTCAAAGTCGTGCAAATCGAACGGCATTGACGTTGCAGAACCTCCATGCTCCGAGGAAAAGGAAGATGAGTTGGTAGAAGATGAAGTGGCTTCTCCAGCTGTTGCAGAAAGAGCAACCAGCGCCATGTCGGGGAAATCAATCCAAATCCTCCAAATCCCAGAAGTCATCAGCAGTTTCTCCAAATCCAAATGAAGCTGATATTCCTTCTATTGAGACAACCGGAGCAGAGGAGCAACATGAGGATCAAGAGCGGGTGGCGAGTGCTTTGTCAGTGAAATCAAAATCTTCAGCGAAGTCCCGCACATCTCACAAAGCCTGCAATAGTCTCAAACCGGTGTCATCGACGCCACTTGTTGATGGGGAAGGAAATGAGACAACAGAGAGGGCTCCAAGCGCTGCATCTGCAAAATCTAGAGTTTCTACTTCATCTCGTAAGTCTAATCATAACAAGCTTCCTGAAGCCGACGCTGCAGAGACAAGAGGATCCAGTGCCTTGTCCGTTCGCTCCACAAAATCCGCTAAATCTGGCAGATGTAGCTGTGGAAAAACGTCAGCACTCGACAAGGAAAGGAAAGAAGAAGACGAGGAGGAGGAGAAGAATGAAGCAAGCGAGGAGGCTTCTGAGCGGGCTGCCAGCGTCTTGTCCACCAAAAGTCAGAGGAAAGATTCAGGAGACACCGAGCTACCGCTGAGTCGAAACTCATCCGTTTCTCTTGGCTTGGCAGAAGACCAAGAAACAGCTGATTCAGACAGTGGCAAGTCCAGTGTTTGTTCCCATGTAAACACGGAGAAAAAGGGCAGAGCGAAGACAGCAACTCCCCAGGAAACACGCCCCACCGTGTCTCAAAACAGCCGGAAAAGCCCTCACAATTGCCCTGAAATCCCTACTATTAATACACCAGGAGGGAGTCGGGTTAAGGGGGAAGAAGGTGAAGAAGAAACCACAGAGAGAGGAGCAAGTGCAATGTCCGCCAAAAGCTCCCGGTCTCACAAGTCTTCTTCTCGTGTCAAAGCAGCTGCGAAAGAACAAAATGAGCTCGATGTCGACAACAGGACATTGTCTGCAATGTCATCAGCAAGTGTGAGAGGTAGGAGTAAATCCTCTGCTAGTGCCAGGGCTAAAAAAGCAAATGATAACGGCGCTGAAAAAGAGACGGACAGCAGGGCGGAAAGCATCGACTCAAAAAGTGGCCTCAAACCTGAGTCGGCAGTTTCCGCTCATTCAGGGTCAAAAACAAAAGCCTCAAAGCAGAGTACAGGAGAGGGCTCGGTGAAAAGTAGCAAGGCCAAATCCAGTGTGAAATCATCAGAGCCTCAAAAGAAAGGGGCGTCGAGCCCCTCTCACAGCTCCACTCTGTCTCAATCTCTGTCCGCCGCTGACCTGCTGAAGGAAACCATGGCACGTCCACGGAGTAAAAGCAGTGTCAGGAGTCAGAGGAGAGAGGAGGTGATGACGCCTGCCTGTCTGCCCAACACCTCGCCTAACGAGGTGGTCAGTGATTGGCTGCGAAGTATACCCAACAGTATGATGGGAGCCAAGGAGGAGGAGGAGGAGGAGGAGGAGGAGGAGAAGCCTGCAGAAGAAGAGGGTGTTCATGAAGAGGGGGAGGAGAAAGTGGAGGAAGAGGAGAAGGAAAAGGAGGAAGAAGTGGAGGTTTTAGATCAAGGGAAGGAAGCGGATGTTTCTCCTCAGGACGCCAAGAGCTGGAAGTCCTCGGCTGCAGTGATGAAAGTCCTCCTGAGCTCCTCCATGGGCCGATGCAAGAGCATGCCAGAGGTAAGACTTCATGAAAATGCTTTCTGTCTATGTGATAGGAGTATTTTTGATTTTTTTTTTAAAGGCAAGGTTTAGGCTTCAGTCGGTGAACGAGGAATAACATCGAAAAACGATGATGTTGCGCTTTGCCTACTCAAAAGGTGGGAAGACAAGAGCAGACGTCTTCCCACCTGTAGATAAAAGAAGTGAATTATGCCCTGTCTCCGTCGATGATAAAGCGGAGGCAGCTGCAAGGTCATACACAGTACCAACAGTTTGTTAGATCCAGGGTGTCCGCGGGGTCTTAAAAAGTATTAAAAGTTGATAAATAAATTTAGCGAAAATGAAGGCTATTAAAAAGTATTAAACGGCATTTTCCAAGGTATATAGTCAATGTGAGGTGAAGTGTGTCGCCAAGGTAACCGGTTAAAACTCGAAGTGGCGATGAGGTCTTAAAATGTTTGGAAAGGGTCTTAAAAGGTCTTACATTTGACTTCAGGATTCCTGCATACACCCTGTAGATAACATAGGAATACGAAAGTAAGTTGTATTTTCCCCAACACTTTCCAAGAATGGCTGATTCACTAGGACTTAGAATTGGTTGTCTGAATGAATGCAGGTTTAGTTCATGTATATGTACCATGTTTTCTTCTGTAGGTGTCTCCAGTGTATGGTCGCAAACTAAGCACATCGGCCCGCGGGCTCCTGGACTGTTTGACCCAGCTCCAGCTCATCGATCCTGCGGTGGGTCAGCAGAAGAACGGCGACCAGCGCTACGAGGACGTTATGGTCATCCTGCAGTCCCTCTGGCTCACCGAGCGGAAGGATGATTTAGTCAAAGAGCAGGTGTCTCCACCGAGGTCTTCGTCCGGGCTGGGAATGAGCAGCGGCTCTGCAGGATCTGGGAAGGACAATGGGAATCATGGTGGGGATGAAACGAAGGAAGAAGAAACAAAGGAGGCTTCTTTACATGAGGAGGAAGCGGTGGAGAAAGCTGTAGAACAGGAGGAAGGGGGGGAAGTAAATGCAGAGGCAGAACCAGAGGAGACGGATGTACATGCAGAGGCAGAACCAGAGGAGACGGATGTACATGCAGAGGCAGAACCAGAGGAGACGGATGTACATGCAGAGGCAGAACCAGAGGAGACAGGATGTACATGCAGAGGCAGAACCAGAGGAGACGGATGTACATGCAGAGGCAGAACCAGAGGAGACGGATGTACATGCAGAGGCAGAACCAGAGGAGACGGATGTACATGCAGAGGCAGAACCAGAGGAGACGGATGTACATGCAGAGGCAGAACCAGAGGAGACGGATGTACATGCAGAGGCAGAACCAGAGGAGACGGATGTACATGCAGAGGCAGAACCAGAGGAGACGGATGTACATGCAGAGCCAGAACCAGAGGAGACAGATGTACATGCAGAGGTGGTCCTTCCAAATATGGACAGCCTCAAAAACTCCAAGGATCCTTCGTCCAGCTCAGCAAACGACAGCTCTGATAACAAGCGAGACACTCTGGACGACTCAAGCTCGGCCACGCCTCCGACTGTCGTGAGAGCGCCTCTGACCAAAAGACAATCCCAGGACCCCGATCCGGTGTGGGTGATGCAGCTGCTGAAGAAACTAGAGAAGCAGTTCATGAATCACTACATCATGGCCATGTCGGAGTTCAAAGTGCGCTGGGACCTGGACGACAGCCTCATCCTGGACACTATGATCGGAGAGCTGAGGGACGAGGTGAGCAAACGCATCCAGCTCAGCATCCAGCGAGAACTGAAGAAGATCCAGGGTCGAGCCGGACGATTGCCTCGTCCTCCGCAGAGAGGAACTCTCTCCAGAGAATCCACCATGACGGACAGGAGGCGTCGAATCCTGAAGGTAACAGCATCCAAATCCTCCTTTCATTTTCATTTGTTCCGTTCATGGTATGCACAACTTAATGTATAACAATTATTTACAAAACATGTCTCTATAAACACACCGTACCCGAAAAGGAGCAGGGAGAAGAAAACATTCTTATATTACCTGCCCCTTTCTCAAAATATAGAAATATTTTATCATATTTTCTTATTCACAGCCAATCATAACAGTATCGTAGGAAAATAAGAGAAACGCAAAAACTTATTTCCCACTTGACAGTTAATGGAAAGAAACAAAACAACACCAAAACATCACATGCACAAGGAAAAGTGCAACATCTGAGTCCTACTGGAGTAGAAGGGGAAAAGAATAATGATATTCATGAGAAAAGATACTTGCAGCTCACATGTTTATCTATTATTACAATAAGCTCGATTGTGGCAAAAACCATAATCTCGATTATTTGGGTCAATAATTGATATCACGATTATTAAAAACGATTATCCATGTACTTTGAAAACATTGAACAGTATGTTTTTAACAGTTGATTACCCTGAACTTTAAGTATAATTCAACTGAAAAACCAATAAAATAAATAAATAAAGTAAATAAAATAAATGAAATTAATAAAAAATAAATAAATAAAATAAATTAAATAAATAATAAATTAAATTAAATTAATTAATTAAATTAAATAAATAAAATGAATACATTTATAAAAGAATAAATACAATTTTTTATTTCGATGATGTTTTCATAATCGTTGCAAGCCAAAATCGTAATTGCGATTAAAATACGATTAATTGAGCAGCCCTACAATAAGCAGTATTTGATTTAACTGTATTTGTTTTAGCTCATCGTGTCCTATTTTACTTCCATATAGGTCATGAAGAACCAACCAAAAACGGCCGAATCTCAGAGTGACGGAGAGATGGCGGGCGAGTTCAGTGACCAGCGCAGTGAAGACGAGTATTGCCCATGTGATGAGTGCGTTCGCAAGAAAATGGCCGCCAGACCTCTCAGAGAAAACCCGATTCCATCCGCCGAACTTCCGATGTCGAGAGAGTTCGACCTCCTCAAGATACTCCAGCTGAAGAAAAGCCCATCGCCCGTTCTCGCGGTTGTTCCAGTTGTGGAGGAAGAGGAGGGGGATAGCGAGGTCGCTGCAGAGGAGGGGAGGAATCTAGAGGTAGTGCAGGAGGAAGAGGAGGAGCAGGACGCTAAAGAGGATATCCAAGCTATGATTGTTTTAGAGGATACGATCCTAGAGGAAGATGAGGAAAGTGGTGCAGGTAGTGAGGAGAAGGACGAAGGAGAGGAGGCAGGAGAAGTGAAGCAGGAGGAAGGATGCCAATGCACCAAAATTAAGGAGGAGAGCGAGGAAGCAGCAGAAGGAGAGGAAACCAGCGACAACACAGGTGAGGAAGAGGGGAGAGCAGTAGAGGAAGAGGGGGAGAAAGCAGAGGAGGAAGAGGAGACAGGAGGCGACGAGGAAGAGACAGAAAGTGGGAAAGAGGAGGAAGCAGTAAAGGAGGAAGCAACAGGCGAGGAAGAAGAAGCACCTGGGGAAACAGAGGAGGATAACGGTGCAAAAAATGAAGAAGATGAAGGGGTTGAAGATGCCGAGGAGGGAGGAGAGCAAGGAGAGGAGGCAGAGGAGGAGAGAGCCTCATCACAGGTAGGATCAAGAGCAAACGGGATTATTTAATTAGAAAAGTGTTAGTAAAACGGTGTATTTTAAGCGTCGATCACAGTTATACAAGTAAGTTATGTATATTTATATATGTTATATATGTAATGAATAAAGGGTACAGATATCATGTATTTCATTATTGTATTACATGTATTTACCTTCTTTACATGTACTTTTAGTCAGGAGGTTTAATAAGTAAGTATGTTCTTCTGCTCTGTTACTGCACGAGACAACCTTTTAGTTATAACACCACCTGCTCTCAAAGTGCCCGAACATTAAGTGCGCTTTAAAGAGGAATCTGACCTACTGCTAAGTCTAAGCCTGCGGGAAAAGATAATCTCACTATCCAATTAGACAGACTGAACAAATCCGTTGTGTTTTCAGCAGCAACTGACGCAAGTGTGCTGCTGTTGTCAGCAATAATAATGTACTTGATGTACTGCAGCCCTTCAATTCAAATGTATTTATATAGCCCAATATCACACAATACATGTGTCTCAGAGGGCAAATCAACAAACACGAATGATGATGTAAAAACAAACATATCTGAAAATATAGTACAGTGACAAGATACATGTGAAAATACCAATGCACGACACAAATACAGTTAGAATACAATAATTCCAGGTCCATGAGGATGTTTAAATGGAGTTTAAACCCAGTCCTAACTGTCTAAGTCTTCAGCCTACTCTTAAATGTGTGGACACTGTCTGCCTCCCAACTGGAATTGCGTTAATTACTTTGTTAGCTGTACTTACGGATAATAACATGCCAAAGTAGCAGTGAATTACTCCCTGATAATTAACTTTTCTTGTTTGGCCCCTCAGTGCCAGGAGGTGAAAAATGACACAGAAGTTGGAGATGCTGTCGAAGAGGTAAAGCCAGAGGAGGAAGTGAAGAAGAGAGATGTTTCCCTTCTCCATCAGTTCACTAAAACCTCTGTGGAGTCGCAGTCCGGCTCCCTGGAGGACATCGACACAGAATCTCCTCCGATCCCTATCGACTCCATAGAAGTGCCCAAAATGGCGGGTGGCGGTACGGGTCAGAGGAGAAGCCGCTCTCCAGGTCGAGTGAAATGCCGAAAACCCAAAGACAACGAACTGGATGACCAATAACTCCCATGAACCCTTGCTCTGTCAGTGACTACCCCATGGTGACTACACAGGTGGAGTTGTTCACAAAACTGCGACCAAAACAAAGAAGTCAAACACTTGAAGCACTTTATCACTCCAGGTCCGCTGTAGAACTTTGAAATGCCACCTTATTTATCCACTATTTAAGTATATTTGTATATTTTCTAAGTTAATTGTAAGCGATATGTCTATATTCTGTATTGTATGTGTACTAATAAGGTATATTTTTGAACTAAACATTGACTCCTATGGGTGTATAATGTAAGGTCAAATGATTTATTGAATCATATAACCATTTATATAACACGTACCTCGTTAGACGCGTTTAATTATTTGTCTCATTACGTTTTGTATTCTCAGGGGTTTGGAAAGTTATTTCCTATATGTTATTTAAGTAGCCCTGTGATGTAATCTGATTACCCTAAAGGAATAGTTTGACATTTTAAGAAAATGTTGAAAGAGGCAAGAGTTTATACCATTCTCTTGCGTCAATATGAAGCTAATGCTAGCTTAGCTTAGCACAAAGACTGGAAGCAGGGGGAAAAGCTAGCCTAAGCTAATTAAAGAGTACTCTTGAATTTACTCCAAAATTGACAGAAAGAAACATTATATTCCGTATTGCTAACTTTATTTAATTATATTTGAATTATTTAACCTTTGCGTAATCTGTACCTCATTATATTAATGTAGTCAAAATACTGTGATCATGTACTGAACATGCAGAAGCTACAAGAGAAACACTGAGCATATCTGAAGGTCTGAATTTCAGGTTGATGTGAACCTTCCTCTGCTGCTTTAATATAAGAGCTTGTTGTTTGGTGTGTGTTACATGCTGTGTATTCAGCTGGGGTTTGCATAATGAGCAGTGTGGATCAACAGCGTGAAGCGTGTTACTGATGCCTTACTGTATCCATGGTTATATCAAGGTAGATGGACAGGAACAGAGGAGGAGATCACGATGGAGGGTCTGGCGTTTGTTTCCTGACATCTTGAGCCTGTTTAGGGAGGCCGGAGTGAATCAAATCTGCCGTTTAAAAAGCCGGAAAATTGTATTTTTAAAAGACCCATAAAGAGTGTTTTCTCTTGTTAAACGCAGGTCTACTCCCTAACGATACTTTCCTGATTGTGGTTCAAAGAGGGTGTGTGTGTGTGTGTGTGTGTGTGTGTGTGTGTGTGTGGAATCATTCATTTTAGGGTGAAGACTTGGTTAGGGTTAGGCATGTGTTGGTTATGGTTAAGGTTAGGATAAGTCTCCAGGAAATGCATGTAAGTCAATGTAATGTCCCCTGCAGTGATGTATACATGGTGTGTGTGTGTGTGTGTGTGTGTGTGTGTGTGTGTGTGTGTGTGTGTGTGTGTGTGTGTGTGTGTGTGTGCCTATGCTGCTATTGGTCTGTTTGATCAGTCTGTGACATCACCAAGTGAACATCATGTAAAGCAAATGAATATGTGAATGTACTAATGTTGATATAAATAAATTATACGCACAGGAAGGTGATTCTGAGGTGGCGTTTCTTAATTATTGAATTACTAATGCACATGCTTTGTGTTAAAGGGATAGTAAGGCAACAGTTAAATGTGTTTAGCTACGTACAAAACAAATACAATCAATGTAATTGTTTGCTATATTTAGCCGTCAGACTGCCCTTTCAGATCGAGAAGCTGATTTGATGCTTTAGTCCGAGCCACCAGACTCCAAATTACAACGCTGCCTCGATTGATGACTTGTTGTTGCTATTGTATGACTTTTTATTTGATCAATTGTTGGAGTTTGGATTCACCAAAGTCCCACAGTAACACAACACGCTCACAGATTAAGGTAAACCAACAACCCCTGTGTTTTGTGAGGTAAAATTACAGTTTTTTAAAAGTAAAATCTTTGGTGAATGTATAATTATCAGCGTCAATTCTTCGTCCAAACGTAGACCAAGGATACCTCATACAACCCCACTTTCAAACATCCAAACTATTCTTTAAATTCATTTTAAAGTGAACGCAGTGCTTCCTTGTGCAGGCTACAGTTTTTAATACTTGTATATATCAAGAACAATGTGCTTTTGCTATCTGACGCAGATTATATTCACTCTTTTACCTTTGCACTCGGCTCAGCTCCAAAGGTTCCCAAAGCTGCTCAGCTGCCCTCAAGATACACACACGACACACTAATCCTGTACATGTGTGTGTTGGGCCACGGAGGGATTGAGGTTGACTTACATCACATTGACCGATATGGAAGAGCCTGTACTGTGCAGAAAACTGTAACAGTACAAGGGGTGGAAGTGTCAGCAAATCTTCAGACTGTATATGGTACCCGGGTTCGATTATGACTTTTGTAAATGTCATACCTCTCTCTATACATTTCAACATCTTTACAATAGAGGCATTCATGCAAAAATAACATTCCCTCAGTATCAATTATACTGCTTCTAACACACGTTTATTATGTAATGCAATATACTGTCAGAGATTATCATATGATATAACACATCAGGAGAACACATAATTGTCTGTTTGCCAATCATAAAAAGTGCATATCATTTCATTTCTATCTCTTAATATTTCAGATTTGATTGCGCACACTATATTCTAACATCTGCCTACATATATAGAACTTAATTCAGTATAAATTGAAGCTACATCTGCAGGTTGTTATGTGTGTTTGGTTGGCAATGCTGCCTCTTAGTGGTATACAATGGTATTGCATGATGCAGGTGACAAAACTGATTTTAGCTTATAATAACATTTAGAAGGAGAACCAATAAAGGATGACCTTTGACTAAAGTGTCATAGTTACTCTATATTTATTTTTGCTGACATGTGACCTTTAATTTATGACAGGCAAGCTTCCACAGCGTCCCTTACGATTGGCTGTTGCTCCAAACGAAGCTCTGCCTCCGCCAGAGAGCAACCAGTCAGCAAACAGACCAAAGCCAGAGGCACCACCTATACACACACAGTCAAATATAACTTTATGATGTAAATATAATGATACTTGTGCATCCTGCTGCCTCCTCACCTTGGTCCTGGTTCTGGCAGTGTGTGTGTGTGTGCTGATGTCGGAGGATGTGATTTCCACGGTCAGATTGTCCACTTTGTAGACGGCCTTCAGGAGAGCTTCCTCACATTTTGACTCGGGACAACCTGAGAGTTTCTGGAAGGTAAACAAGAACGCTTCAATTTAGATTTATACAATGTTTAATGTGACTGTAGTGATTATTTTCTCTGTGAAGAATGGAGATTAATGAATCTTTTTCACTACTCCACATAGCACAGAAACATGGTTTAATAGTAAGTTAAACAAAAGTATATTATATTACACCTAGACTTTAGAAAGTGCCTCACAATGAAGGACACAAGAAAGACACTTCATATGTAATTCAAACGATTACTAAGCAAAGGCACGGCTAAACAGGGGATTCTTGAGCTGCTTTTTTAACGTTTTGTTATGCATAATTGAAAATTAAAAGAGGTGGATGGAACCTGTGTCAAGATCGAGTTTAAAAATATATTATTTTCTGATTATTGAAGAGGATATACCATGTGACTACAATATAAAGACACATTAACATGATAGTAGTAAATTAAGGTAAAACAAGGTAGTATTTATACTGTATATAGGTCTGTCTGGTTTTTGTTTCTCCTTTCAAATTATGAAATGAATGTATGCACAGTAGTAGATGGGGTTGTAGGGTTTAACATCCATTAGTGGTGTTATTTTACCTGCAGTAAACGAGTGGCTCTGCAGTAGAGTTTGCTGTTGGTGACCTGCAGGTCCATCATGTGGTTCTGGTAGATTTTCCCCTTTAAGACGTGAGCGCCGGTGCTCAGAGCGTTCAGGAACAGCTTAGTGCACAGCTCCCACTGCTGAGAGAGAGGAGATATTGATTATCTGTTGTCTGCATTTACATAAGC